CCACGGCGGCGCTGGCACATGCGTGTTCCCATGTCCCCCTGTCCCCGTGTCCCCCCGTCCCCGTGCCCCTGCCCCGCGGCGGCGCTGGCACGCGCGTGTCCCCGCAGACCTGGGGCTCTTCAGCACCAAGACGCTGGTGGAGGCGAGCGGCGAGCACGCGGTGGAGGTGCGCACGCAGGTGCAGCAGCCCTCCGACCAGAACTGGGACGTGGGCGGCACGCGCCAGGTGTGGCCCTGCGAGAGCAGCCGCTCGCACACCACCATCGCCAAGTACGCCCAGTACCAGGCCTCCTCCTTCCAGGAGTCCCTGCAGGTGGGTGCCGGGGACACGGGGGGACACGGGGGGACATGGGGACACATGGGGACACATGGGGACACATGGGGACACATGGGGACACGGGAACACAGGGACACAGGGATGGCAGAGACACAGGCCTCCTCCTTCCAGGAGTCCCTGCAGGTGGGTGCCGGGGACACGGGGGGACACGGGGGGACATGGGGACACATGGGGACACATGGGGACATATGGGCACACATGGGGACATGGGAACACAGGGACACAGGGATGGCAGAGACACAGGCCTCCTCCTTCCAGGAGTCCCTGCAGGTGGGTGCCACACGCACGGGGACACGGGGGGACACAGGGGGACATGGGGACACACGGGGACACATGGGGACACGGGCCTCCTCCTTCCAGGAGTCCCTGCAGGTGGGTACCATGCGCATGGGGACATGGGGACACCATGCGAGGACACAGGGGCATGTGGACGCATGGGGACACAGGGACTTGGGGACACATGGGGACATGGGGACACACGGGGACACAGGGACACAGGCCTCCTCGTTCCAGGAGTCCCTGCAGTGCCATGCATGGGGACAGCATGTGGGGACACGGGGGGACACAGGGACACGGGGTGCGGGGGACATGGGGACAGTGAGGATGGCGGGGACGCAGGGACATGGGGCACGGGGGACAGCAAGGACACGGACAGTGAGGACACGGGGCATGGGGGGACACGGGGGGACAAGGGGGATGAGGACATGGGGCGCGGGGGACAGCGGGGATGAAGGGGACAGGGCAGTGGTGCGGGTGGGGGACATGGGGTGACAGCAGGGATGGAGGGACATGAGGGGACGGGGGACACGGGGCGTGGGGGACACAAGGAAGTGGTGGAGATGGGGTGCAGGGGACACAGGGATGGGACAATCGCAGGGGACAGGGGGACACGGGGCGCAGGGGACATGGCGGGATGACAGGGCCAGGGGGACACGGAGGGTGTAGGGGACATAGGGACATTGGCACGGGGGCCACGGGGACATAGGGGACACGGGGGGCGCAGGGGACACAGAGCAGGGGGGCAGCGCGAGGGGTGCGGGGGCCACGGGGCTGCGGGCAGGGGGGCAGCGCGGTGACACCCTGACGTCCCCAGGAGGATAAGGACAGCGAGGACGACGAGGCCGAAGAGCCCGACAGCACCACCGAGACCACCCCCAGGTAGGGTCCCCCGTGTCACCGGCGGGTCCCCCTACCCTGGGGGTGCATGGGGGGGTCTTTGTACCCCCCCCAGGTGTCCTGGGGGGTTGTTGGGGGTCACTGGGTGTCCCTGGGCTGTCCCTGTGCCGCTAGGAGGGTCCCCACGTCCCCAGGGTGGCCCTGTGGCACTGAGGGAGGGTCCCCATGTCCCCATGGTGCCCTTGTGTCATTGGAGAAGGGGGTCCCCACGTCCCCAGGGTGTCCCAGGGGGTCTTGGGGGGCTCCTTGTACCCCCAGGGTGTCACTGGGAGGGTCCCCACGTCCCCAGGGTGTCCCTGGGGTGTCTTGGGGGGCTCCCTGTACCCCCAGGGTGTCACGGGGAGGGTCCCCATGTCCCCAGGGTGTCCCTGGGGTGCCTTGGGGGGCTCCTTGTACCCCCAGGGTGTCACTGGGGGGTCCCCACGTCCCCAGGGTGTCCCTGGGGTGTCTTGGGGGGCTCCCTGTACCCCCAGGGTGTCACGGGGAGGGTCCCCAGGGTGTCCCCGGGGTGCCTTGGGGGGCTCCCTGTAGCACCGCGGTGCCGTGGGGGGGGTCCCCGCGTCCCCAGGGGGGTCCCCCGTAACCGTGCCCCCCCGCAGCAACCCCGAGCAGAAATCCCACCAGATCATCAAATTCGGGACCAACATCGACCTCTCGGACGCCAAGCGGTGAGGGGCGCGGGGCTGCGGCGGGTGACACCGGGAGGGGGCGACACCGGTGGCGGGTGACACTGGGAGGCGGGTGACACCGGGAGGGGGTGACACGGTCAGCGGATGACCTGGTCAGCGGGTGCCGTGTCCCTCGGTGCCGTGTCCCTTGGTGGCACGTGTCCCCTGGAGTGTCCTTTGGCGCCGTGTCCCTCAGTGCCATGGCCCATGGTGACACGTGTCCCTCGGCACCGCGTCCCTCGGCACCGCATCCCGTGGTGACACATGTCCCTCAGTGACACATGTCCCTGGCACCGTGTCCCTCGGTGACAGTGGGCACCATGTCCCTCAGTGCCACATGTCCCTGGCACCATGTCCCTCAGTGACGGTGGGTGCCGTGTCCCTTGGTGCCACGTGTCCCCGCGCCGTGTCCCTCGGTGATGATGGGCGCCGTGTCCCTTGGTGCCACGTATCCCTGGCACCATGTCCCTCGGTGATGGTGGGCGCCGTGTCCCTCGGTGCCATGTGTCCCCGCGCCGTGTCCCTCGGTGACAGTGGGCGCCGTGTCCCTCGGTGCCACGTGTCCCCACGCCGTGTCCCTCGGTGACAGTGGGCGCCGTGTCCCTCGGTGACACGTGTCCCCGCGCCGTGTCCCTCAGTGATGGTGGACACAGTGTCCCTCGGTGACGGTGGGCACCATGTCCCTCGGTGCCACGTGTCCCCGCGCCGTGTCCCTCGGTGACGGTGGGCGCCGTGTCCCTCAGTGCCACGTGTCCCCACGCCGTGTCCCTCAGTGATGGTGGACACAGTGTCCCTCGGTGACGGTGGGCGCCGTGTCCCTCGGTGCCACGTGTCCCCGCGCCGTGTCCCTCGGTGACGGTCCCCGCGCGCGCCCCGCAGGTGGAAGCCGCAGCTGCAGGAGCTGCTCAAGCTGCCCGCCTTCATGCGCGTCTCGTCCACGGGCAACATGCTGAGCCACGTGGGCCACACCATCCTGGGCATGAACACCGTGCAGCTCTACATGAAGGTGCCCGGCAGCCGCACGCCGGGTGAGCCCGCGGGGCGCCGCGGGGCGCGGGGACACGGGGACACACACGGGGACACGGGGCATGGGGACACGCATGGGGACACAAGGGGACACATGGACATGGGGACACACACGGGGACACGGGGCATGGGGACACAGGGACGTGGGGACATGCATGGGGACACGTGGGGACATGGGGCGCGGGGACACGCATGGGACACACACAGGGACACACAGACACGGGGACACGCATGGGGACATGGGGACACAGGGACACACACGGGGACACGGGGCATGGGGACACACGGACATGGGGACATGCATGGGGACACATGAGGACATGGGGCACGGGGACACACATGGGGACACACATGGGGACACATGGACACGGGGACACGCATGGGGACACGAGGACACAGGGACACACACGGGGACACGGGGCATGGGGACACATGCAGGAACACATGGACACGGGGACACGGGGATATGGGGCATGGAGACACGGATGCAGGGCATGGGGACATACGTGGGGACACGCGGACATGGGGACACGGGGCATGGGGACATACATGGGGACACAGGCGGGGATGCGCATGGGGACACATGGACATGGGGACACACACAGGAACACACAAACACGGGGACACAGGGACACGCACAGGGATACGGGTCATGGGGACATGGACAAGGGGCATGGGGACACGCACGGGGACGTAGGGACATGCATGGGGACACATGCGGGGACACGCAGACACAGGGACACAGGGGCACGCACAGGGATATGGGGCACGGGGACACAGGGACACGGGGCTTGGGAACATGCGTGGGGACATGGGGCACGGGGACATGTGCATGGGGCACGGGGACACGCATGGGGACACATGCAAGGACACGGGGATACACGCGGGGATACGGGCCATGGGGACACGCATGGGGACACACACAGGGACACATGGACACAGGGGCATAGGGACACAGGGCATGGGGACACGGGCATTCAAGATGTGGTGACACGTGCGGGGACACGGGGCACGGGGACACGCATGGGCTCGGGGACACAGGTGGGGACACAGAGCATGGGGACACACGTGGACATGCGGGGCACAGCAACATGCCTGGGGACATGGGGCACGGGGACATGCGCAGGGACACAGGAATACAGGGACACGGGGACACGGGGCATGGGGACACGTGCGGGGACATGGGGACATGGACATAACAGGCATGGAGATTGAGGACACGGGAACATGGGGACATGGGGACATGGATGTGGGGAGCACCGGGACTGGGGACACGGGGACGTGGATGTGGGAATGCAGGGACTGGGGACACAGGGACATGGGGATATGGACGTGGGAACATGAGGCCTGGAGACATGGGAACACGGGGACACTGGGACATGGACATGGCAGGCACAGAGGACATGGAGACACGGGGACACACGGACATGGGTCATGAGGACACAGGATCTGGGCACATGGAAACTGGGGACTCGGGGACATACAGATTGGGGAAATGGCCATTGAGGGCACGAGGACGGGGGGCACCGGGACATGGGGATACAGGGACACGGGGACATGGACATGGCAGGCATGGGCACTGGGGACATGGGGACATGGATGTGTCAGACACAGACACTGGGGACACAGGGACATAGAGACACAGGGATATGGGGACATGGAGATGGACATGGCAGGCATGGGGACTGGAGACACGGGGACATGGGGACACAAGGACATGGGGACACAGGGACATGAGGACATGGCTGTGTCGGGCATGGGGACTGGGGAGACAGGGACATGGGGACACAGGGACATGGGGACATGGACGTGGCAGGCACTGGGGACATGGGGACATGGATGTGGCGGGCATGGGAACTGGGGACATGGGGACATGGACATGGCAAACACAAGGACTGGGGACATGGGGACACAGGGACATGGGGACGTGGACGTGGCGGGCATGGGAACTGGGGGCTTGGAGATGGTGGAGGGCACCTTGGGACGGTGAGGACACGTGTGAATGGTGGGGACACATGGGGACAGTGGGGGGCAGTGAGGGGCACATGGGGACATGGGGATGGTGAGGGCACATGGGGAAGGTGGGGACACATGGGAACATTGGGGACACTTGGGGACATTGGGGACACATGAGGATGGTGAGGGCACATAGGGACATTGGGGACACATGATGATGAGGGCACGTGGAGACCTTGGGGACACACGGGGACATTGGGGGGACGATGAGGGCACGTGGAGACTTCGGGGGCACATGGGGCCATTGGGGACACACGGGGACATTGAGGGGATGTTGAGGGCACATGGGGATGATGGGGACACATGGAGACATTGGGGACACACGGGGAC